CATTCGAAAAATCCATCGATAAATAAAGGGTATTATGTTATGAAATTGAAAAGGCAATGAAAGAAAGTAAAATAAACAAATTTTATTAATTTTTTTAAAAGAATCAAAGAAGAATGAAAAAGTACTAAAAAACTGTAAAAGTAATTATAATATTTACAAACCAAAAATGGAAATCGGACACTATCAAATAATATCAGTATATACTTATAAATTTCAAATAGATCGATAAATTAAAAAACAAGTAACGAAGCAATAAGTAACAATTATTAATTTTGTTTGTTTATGCCATTCCTTTGCAATTAAAAACAATGAATGGCTAATTTGTGCAAATTAAGGATGCATTTTTTTTTATTTAACTTCATATTTCAACACAAATAATTTTAATTGAAATTGATCAAATATTATCATTTATCAGTGAAATTGATCAAATATCATCATTCATCATTTTATGAAATTGAGGTAGTGGAATAAAATAAAATATCCATATATTAATCAACAACCATATCATCGTCTGATATTTCATAATCATCGTTTGATGCTTCTCCTAATTAATTATTTTTTTGCATCCATTCCTGTGTAACAATCAATCCAAAAAATAATTCCACGACTGTCAATATAATTTCATATATAAAGGATTGATTGACCTTAAATATACTTGGTCGTATAATGTTTGAGTATTCCAAAATGATTCCTTTTTCATTAATCTGAATTTAATTACTCTTTGTTAATTGTTCAAAATGATCATAGAAGTGCAATGCATATTACTGACAAATACATCGTATTCATTTGACAATCTCTTTGTAAAAGGCAATTTAATTCACCAATTCGCGTAATTAGTTTAAAATTAGGCTCAGACTAAAGTTTAGAATTGATAAAAATCAACGAAATTATAGTAAAATTAAAAATCAAGACCGCAGCAACCATATTTCTATTATCATTCATTGATAATGTCTAATTGGAAATGTTAGAAAAATCAACCGATTGTTCCAATATTGATTGTATCCTTAAGTTTTTCAATGCGGATGAGAAATTTTGGTTTTTTACCATTCTGAAATTTGGTATCATAACCATAAAACCATTTGAATGAGATCTTTAAAGATTTTAGAAGTTGAAATGTTCAGCTCTGAAATATAAGATCAAAGATTATAAAATTTGAAATTGCCATTGGATTTTCAGTTTTAATTTCAATGCCAACCGTTCTGTTTAAAAATGATCGGATAACTTAAATGGCATTAATTTCCCATAAAAATTATGAAATCTATTAAGCCAAAAAAAACTGAATATTCTAGGAGATAATATTTACAACATATTGTAATATTGCGTGATACGTCAAATATATCAAAAATAACTGAATAATTTCGCTCTCGTTAAATTCACTTTCAAGTTTTGATAATTTAAATAATTTTTCATTATACTAAAATTATTCAAAATACTCTTCTCCATTGTTCGACATTATTTCGCTGATTTAAAATTATTTGTATTTTGAAAAATTTTTTATCTAGAAAAAACGCTACTTCTATCTCATTCTCGGTTTTAGCTTTTTACCTCTGGCTCCTGCATACAGTAGCAACACTACAGAAGTTACTGTAGCGGTGATAGCAGCGCCGATTTAGCAGTTTTTGAAGAATGACACAATCGATTTAAGGCAAAATTCATTTACGACTTAATTATCGACAGCCTACAACTATCAGACGTATTACAATAATTTGCATTAAATTTATGCGTTGTAGGAAAGAATTCCTTTACATTCTTTAGGCTTCATAATTATGCTATCTTCTCACATTTTGTTTCGCATTTTTTTGGCTCACAATGTTTAGGCCATATAATA